AGCACGATCATTCTCTGTTTTCTCTGGGCGCTGCAGAATGCTCCACGCGCGCGCGCGGGTGGCCATTGTTAGCCGCGCGCGCCCGCGAGGGCGGGGTGCTCTGACTTGTCCACGGCGCAGAAACTACAACATAACCTTTGTCAGCCCACATATCCAATCGGCCACCGCAATGCTTTCACACGGGTTCCCAGGCCAACGCGGCGACTTTTCTACGCAACGCGCAGTGCCCCACGGGTGCAGGCGCGAAAGTGACCATGGCCACAAGCCCGCGCCCGCGCGCGGGGGGCGCCCTGTCTCGTCCACAGTAGACCAATACAGCAGAACCCACGTCAACTCGGATATCCAATCGGTCGTCGCCAAGAGTTGGGCTGCGTCTCCAGGCCGCCATAGTTACGCGTTTCTGGACAGCGCGCAATGCTCCACGCGCGCGCAAAATGCCGCGATCACGCGCGCGTCCGCGCGTAACGGGAGGGAGAGGGGGAGGGGGCGTTCTGCGTGATCCACCACGAATATGCAACCAAACCAATGGCAACTTCGGAAACCACTCCGTAGTCGGGAAGGATTGGCTCCAGTTCCCAAGCCAGCGCGGCGACGTCCTGTCTGGGCTGTACACAGTGATCCACGCGCGCAGGCGCGCGAACAGCCATGGCCGCCAGCGCGCGCCCGCGCGCGGGCGTTCTGCCTGGCCCATTGCAGAGACCTCGCAACAGAACCCATGTGAACTTGGAAATGCAATCGGCCACCGCGGTGGGTCCCCGCGTCTTCCCAGGCCAGCGCGGAGCCCATGCCATCATGAACAGCGCGCAATGCTCCACGCGCGCGCGCAAGTGACCACGGCCTCCCGCGCGCGCCCCGGCGCGCGGAGAGGTCTGCATTGCATATTGAAAGAGAGCACACAGCAGAAACCGCGTGAACTCTGAGGTCCAAGTGGCCAACGCACAAGGTTCACTTGCGTTCCTTGGCCAACGTGGCTGCTGTTCCAAGATGAGCACACGCGCACGCGTATAACCAAGGACACGCGCGCGGAGGCGCGCGCGCGGTGCCGTTTATCGCGCGCGCAGTAGAAGACGTCCGACGAGCCCCGTGCGAGCTCAGACATCCATGTGGCCAATCAAGGGCCCACTTGACTTCCCAAGCCAGCGCAATAAATCTTCTGTTCTGGGCAATGCGCAATGCTCCACGCGCGCGCGCGCGCTCGCGCGTGATCGCGGCCGACCGCGCGCGCGAGGCAATATGCATTGTCCAGAGCGCCAAGCCCATTTTAACTCGTGGCTCCCATCGTTTACCACTGAGGGTGCACTGGAGCCGCCAGACCCACGCGGCGACTTCCCAACTTTGGACAAGACAGCGATCCGCGCGGCGCGCGGCGCTCGGCGCGCGGCCACGTGCGGGCGCGCCTGCAGGCCGCGCAGGGCGGCTGCGCGAGGCGGCCGCGACATTGCGGCAAGCGCTCGCAACGGAGCGCCGTGGCACCCCCACTCGGCGCCGCGCTTCGAGACGGCCACAAAGCAGTCCGAGGCGCGCGGCCCCGCGCGCGCGGAGGCGCGAGGTGGCCGCGCGCGGTGGCCTCGCTGCCTCCTTTCCTGGGGCGGCCACCAGCGTGCGGCCGGCCGCTCGGCGGGGGCCCCTTGCGAACCTTCGTGATTGCGGAGTCAGGCCTGCGCGCGGCTAAATCCCGTCAGCCTCTCTCAGGCGCGAGTGGTTTAGCGAATTCCCTCTCCCCCCCCTCCCCTTCGGGAAGGAGTTTGCCCCCCCGCCCCCGCCCCCGCCCCCCGGCCTGGGCGGTGCTTCTCGCGAGGGGTCGGAAGGCTGGTGGCCTCGGAGAGATGGCCGGCATCATTGATCGCGCTGTGGTTTTGGCCGCGCGTCGGCCTCCTGGGGAGGGGGGCAAGTGGAATTTCAATCTTCTTTGGTCGACCGCATCCAAAATCGCTCCAACGCGGCCCCCCAAGGCTCCGCGGGGCGCCCCAGGACGGCCCCGAGAGGTGGCCACGAGGCCCGAAGAGGCCCCCACGATGCCCCCAGGAGGCCCCAAACAAAAGGCCCCCGAGAGGCATGCGAGGCGTTCCGTGACAGCCCCCAGACTGCCAAGAGATCCCCGGCGGGCCTCCAAGAAACTCCCGAAAGACATCCAGACATGCGTGGAGCGTTTCCTCCTCCAGCCCCCCGTTGTCGGTCCTCTCCGGGAACGGCTAGGCCCTCCCCCGCCCCCCCGTGGGTCAGGGCAAAGCAGTGTGGGGAGTGGGGTGGGTGTGGGGGGGGGGGAGGGACAAACGGCTCGTGGAATTAAAACGCCCCAAACGACCCAAATCGCCCCGCCAGGACCCCCAAAAATCCAATCTGACCTCCAGCGCGTCGAAATGCATGTATTCCAAGGCGGTCCCAAACGGCCTCCAAGAAGCATTGAGATCGCCCCCGCACCGCTCCGAGCGGCCGCGGGGCCTCTCGAGGAGAAGCCCAGGAAGCCCCAATCGGTCCACAACTCCAGGGAAACAAATGATGTTTGCCTGATCGCCGTTCCGCTTCCAGTGAGCTCCCGAGGCCTCAATACGGCTACGACGTGGCCCCGAACAACTCCAAGAGGGGCCGCGGGGACTCTGAGGCGGCCCCAACGCGCCCCAAGACGCGAGCTCGCCGGCCCAAGAAGGGCAACGATGTCAGGAGGCACCCCCTCTCATGTGATCGACGTCCCCCAAAGGGCCCCGCTCCAAAATCCCACGGGGGCCCCAAACCGCCCCGCGAGAACGCCGAACGCTTCCAACTGTCTTCAATTACCCCGAAAAACCCCCGAGGGTCCCGGCATGACCTTGGGAGGGCCCCGCGAACGACCAAAATGGCCTGCCAGAGAATCCACGACATGACGACACAGACAAGAAACACGATGGTTGACAGCTGCTGTCGTCGCCGTCGCCTCTTTCCCCCCCGCATAATCCTCCTCTTCCCCCTCTTCCTCCACCCATTTCTCCGACGTCATCGTCCTCCTGTTCATCCCGTTGCCCTTCCACCTTCTCCCCCCCCTGCTTCTCCCTCCCCCCCGCGCCCCCTCTCCGCTGCAATTTCAGTTCCAGCCATTTTGGCCCGCGCAATATATCAAGGCGGCTGGTCTGGCCAGTCCCCTCGGGCCCGTCTGGCGGAGCAGCCCGCGACGCGTGCTCACCAGGCGAGGCTCTCCCTTCCAGTGAGCTCCTGATGGAGCCATGTTTTTTTTTCCCTCCATGTTGTAGTCGATCCGCGCGCACGCGGGCGGCGCCTGAAAACGACGCATCGCATTCTTTCGGCGCGGCCGCGATGGCGGCGCCAGCCTCCCGTGATGGCAGCTTGAGCTCTCCACAAGAGTTGTTCTCTGTCCGCGCGCGGAACAGGGCGCCAGAGGACGGGGGGCCGAGAGGGTAGGGGGCAAAACGTAGGGGGAGGGGGGAGGGGGGGGAGGGGGGGAGGGGGGAGGGGGGAGGAGGGGGGGAGGGAGGGGGGAGGGAGGGGGGAGGGGAAGGGGAGGGGGGAGGGGGAGGGAGGGGGGGAGAGGGGGAGGGGGAGGCGGGAGGAGGCGAGGGGGAGGGAGGGGGAGAGGGGGGAGGGGAAAAGAGGAGGCCTCTCCCTTGCCTCCACCTCGTCCTCCCCCTCCTCCTCCTCCTCCTCCTCCTCCTCCTCCCCCTCCTCTTCCTCCTTCTCTTGGTTCATCCTCATCCCTCCCCGCGCGCGCGCGCACGCGGCGGCGGGCCTCCGCGTGGACGCTGCGGCGGGGGCGGCGGGCGGCGGCGGGCGGAAGCGGCGGGGGCGGCGACAGCGACGACGACGATGGCGACGACGAGGACGACGACGACAGACGACCAACGACATACGACCGACAACGACGACCGACGACGACGACGACGATGACGACGACGACGAAAATCACGATGAAGACGACGACGACGACCGACGAATACCGACGAAGACCGACGACGACGACGGGAGACGACGACGCGGATCGACGACAACCGACGACGACGGCGGACCGACGACGACGACGACGGCGCCCGCCAATCGGAGCACTCCTCCATCCTCGACTGAGGCCCTGTATCGAAGGGCGTACTGCAGGGATTTGTTTCGACAGGAGTGTAAAGCCACAACGGTTTTTCAATCAAGCGTGTGTTGGTTACGAATTCGGCGCGCCGTGATTCACCATTCACCACGAACGCCGGGGCGGGCCAGCGCTGCATGCACGAGAGAGCGCAACGCCGCAGGCACAAAATGGCGAAGCCTCCTCAGGAGAGGGTGCTGACCGCCGCCCCGATCGAGAGAAATGCAACGCGCGCGACCCAACCCTCGCCGCGCAGGGTCTGCGAAGCTCGCTCATACCAAACAGCGTAAGCACTGGCGTGGCACGTCTCAGGGTCGACGTCTGCACCGAGCCCGTCTCGGAAATCGTCGAACACTCCTGCGACCAAAACTAAAGGTGCCGCCAGCACGAAGATCGGATCGTCACTGCAGCGGCAACCGCTGCGAGCACGATAAAAACAGCTAGGCGTGCAGCCAGCACGCCCTCTGCCAGAATTCTGAAGTGGTTCCCGCAACTGATGGCCCCACCGCGCTGCTCCGCTACTGCTACTGCTGCTTCTACAAACTACTGCTGCTGCTACTGCGATCTCTGCAACCTCCTCTGCTGCTGCTACTAATGCTTTTACTGCTACCGCTACGACTGCCATTGCATTACTACGACTGGTAGCGCGCCTAACTCCCATCTACATACCGATCGACCCACCTACCTAGTACCCACTACCTGCTACTTCTCCCCTCCCTCTGCATATCGACGCGGGGCCGGGCATCGGGGCAAGCCGCGTCGCGGCGATGCATATATAGCCGCGCAGGCGCACGGCAGGAGCTCAAAGAAAAGAAACCCAAGCGGGCTCCCTGGGCGCAGCACTCGGGGGGTGCAACGACAAAATGCCATGCCCAATCACTTGAAACAACCATATTTCAGCTCTCGATCCATCTACCGAGACGGAACTGCCTCGCCATCACTAGCCCTGGGCAGCCTGGGACTTCGACGCCTTCAGCTTCTGAAGCTCCGTATTCATGTAGTCAGTGAGGTTCTGCGGGAGACCCGAGCCTTTGCACTTGTTGATGTGCGACCTGAGGGTATCGTAGCGGTCCTTCTTCGGGGTCAGAGGCATCGTCTCCAACACCAACTTGCACGTCGACGCAACCGAAATGAAAGTCCTCCCGGAGGCGAGGGCCCTGCTCGCCACGCCGAGAACCGCTTGGTGCCTCTTCTCGAAAGCCATGATGGAGCCATCTGGAGTGGTAAAGTCGGAAGTGAAAGCCTTGGCATGGTTAACCATCTTCTGGATGCCCACCCAATCGTTTGCGAAAACAGCCCAATGGTCGTACTTGTTCACGATCTCCTCCTTGGCCTTCTCCGCGTCGAACACCGTCACACAGTACTCCTTGTGCGAGGGGATCCGCTGCTCGAGCGATTGCGAAGAACGTTCAAGCTGCCCGGCGAGATTGCCCGTGACCAAGCCGAGCAGGCTCTCAGAAAAGGACATGGCAGCTGTCGCTTCTGCCACCAGCTTGTCCTTCGAGCACTTCAAGAGACGGTGCTGATCCAGCTTTGCCGAGACGCCGTCGGTGATCTCGACGCCCTCGAGCGCGGTAGACTTCATCAAGCCTGACAGAGAAGACAATCGGGTCGCCAAAGCAATCCATGCCGACTTGAGCCTATCCTCGTCCTCGATAACGGCCTTGGAGAAGTCGTGAGCCTTCTTCGCGGACGCGACCAGGCAGTACTCCAGTCTGATCGCGGTGACAAGCCACTGCAGGCGAAGCCAAAGCGCCAACCTTTTCTTGCGGAGGGCCACGAGGAGCGTGCAGACTTGGCCGACGAGGAGGTCGATCCGCAGCAGGGTGCCGCGCGCCATGTTCTTCATCGGGAGACGCACCTTATCCACGGTCTCGTCTGACTGGCTGCCGTCAAGCAACCACTGGGGCTCGGCCTCGGCGGAGCTGTCGGTAACAGCCTCGAGAGGCGCTGCCGCTGCTCCTCCGCTCGCGCCTGCGGCGCCACCCGGCTGACTCGCGCCCCGGCGCCCCCTGAAAGCCAGGAAAAGCCGTTCATGACGACTTGCTCGGACTTTCATGGAGCGCGGGGGCACGGGCCAGAGCAGGAGGCGCCGTGGGCACGACCAGTACGCAGCGCCAACGCCCATCCTTCCAATACGCGCTGGAGGTACACTCGATGAAGTCCGTGATCTCCTTCACCTTCGTCGTCACGCTGGTCGACTCGTGCTCGGCCAGGAGCGAGGCGCCATGGCCCGCAAGATTCCGATAATCTTCAAGGGGGATCTCGAGGAGCTTCATATGAGCAAAGATAGCCGAAGTGTCATCAATCGCGGGCTCCAAGGCAGCCGTTGACTGCGCAAGGTCCTCGATCACCTCAATGTCCTCGATCCTGCCTTCAGTGCACTTCGCGAGCGGAGCCGCAGTCAGCGTCATCATCATGTCAATGCACCGCTTGTTGACAGACGATCGTGCTGGCTCATCCTGGAAGTAGTTCAGCTTCTGCAAGCCGTGCAGCGGGTCCGACACGGTGAGCTTGAACTCGGCGTTATCGAACTTGTTGTCCTGCACGAGGACACGAAACGCGGTGCCCATCGCCATGCCGATGTCCTTCAGCACGTACTGCACGTGCTCAACAAACCGACTCAGGGTCCGTTCGTCGACCTCGGGCGGAGGGGCTCAAGGCACGAAGAATACGTAGTCACACCTACTCGGCCCGGCATCGGCCGTCTGCCTGAGTCGGGCGTCATTTGGCATGGCCCAGATCGCAAACATGATTGCCTCTCGGTTGCTGGAGGCCCCTCCCTGCTTATTCGTGCGATCGTCTCGGGCAGACGGCCGACTCGGCCATGGCGTTGGATCGGGCACTGAATTGTCGGGGCGGGGTCGTCGGCGGACCCCGCCCCGAAAATGAAGCGCCCGATCCAGCGCCGCACGCCGAATCTGCATGCGGGTCGTACCTCGCCGAGCCGCCCCTCCCCCCACGGCCTGAAACTCCAGCTGCAGGAGCGAAGCGTCAAGCCGAACAACGTTGTCCATGCCCTTTCCGCCCCTGTCGAGCAAGTCCATGATGCGCGCCTCGCCCTCCTGCCGATGGGACAAGTCTTCGAGCTTGGTGGCCGCGTAAGTGAGCAACTTGTTGCCTGTGCCAGTCGATACGAACATCTTGAGAGTGGTCTCAGAGGAACGCTTGATCTTCACAATGCAATCGTTAACCGCAGCCTCGTTCCCGCGGTACTCGCTCGTCTGGAAAGCAGTCTTGAGCGTGATGAGACTGTCAGTGAGGTCCTGCGCGAACGAGAAATCCAGAATGGCAACGGAGGACCTCGCAAGCGTGGGAACTGGATGCAAGAAGTTCTGCAACCATTTGGCATGCTCCGAGACGGTCTTCGGAACCAAGTCGCCGCCCGGGGCGACGATTGTCAAGAGGCAATCGTCAATGTTTTCCTGGGGACGGGGCCAGTCGAGCCCCTCGCTCGCGGAAGACCCCGTGACTTGACGGCGCCGCTGGAGCTGGCGAGTTGTCTCCACGCCGAGCAGCGCCGCGAGTCAAGGGCCCGCCAGCGAGGGGATCCACCGACTGTCGCCTGTCCTTCTGCCAGTCCGCCACCTCAGTTGTGGGGAAGAGGCCGCGGCACATGTCCTCGGAGATCTGCTTGTAGCGCGGCAACACAGACTGCCCTGTCTTGAGGTCCTCCAAGAGGTTGTGCTTCAACCTCATCTCCATCAGGCTTACCTGGACGCAGTTGGGCACCTTGATCACGATCGGCGGCGGCTGCTTGGCGTGGTTCTCCAACTCGGTGTACTCAGTCAAGAACTCCTGGGTGTTATTCTGCCTGACCCACTGCTTGTACATCTTCGTGATAGCAACCTGAGCCTGAGACAACTTCAGCAGCAGTCTGGCCTTGTCCTGCGTAGGGCGAGTGAGGAGCTGCATCTTGTTGCTGAGGGCGTCACTAGTGGTCTTGACCGCTTCGAAGTGCTTCTTATCCATGGCCAGCAAAGTTGCCCTTTGCAACAGCGGGAACTCATCAGTCACGTTCTGGAGACGATCGATCTGGCCTTTTGCAGTCTTCTCCGCTGCATCGGGGGCCTCGTCCCCGCCAGCCTTTCCCTTCGTAGTCCCCGACCGCCTCGCGCCGCCGCCCCCGGCGGAGATCGGCGGCGGCATGTTCGACTGAGCCTTTGCCTTTCCCTTGGCCTTGGCCCGTCCCGAGGAGGGCTGCCCGGGCGTCGCGGCGGCGGCCGCCGCGCGGCCCTCGCCAGCAGGCTGGCTCGAGGATGCGGCACCCATGCCACTGTCAAGTAAGCCCATGAGATCGCGACCGCCCATGTCTTCGTCATCCGACTCGTCCTCGGCCTTCACCTGGAGATCCTCAACCCTGGTTTTCTTCTCTGCCGGGCCGCCGTCGGCAGAAGCGGCGGGCTCGGCCTTGCGCGCCTGCGACTGGCCAGTCATCTGGTTCCTACCCGCCCCATCGCGAATCTCAGCGAAAAGAGATGCAACATGATCTGCCCTGTCCGTGAGCTCGCCGTTGTGCAGCTCCGTCGAGTGAGCGAACTTCTGCGTTGCATTCCACTCTGTTTCCATCTCGTCCTCAGGCGTGGTAGGGACCAATACGACTTTCCTGGGGCGGCCGCGTCTCAATCTCAGGTGGGGCCCGGGCGTGGGGGGCTACAACAGGCCGCTAAAGTCGGAGCTGCCGACACCCTGTGCCCTACCCCTATCGGCCGTGGCGACCGGGGAAGAGTGAGCGGCGTCGGCGGTTCCTCAAGAGGCGCAGATGTAGCCCTCCTGCCACCTGGGCCCCCCCTGAGACCGACCGAGAGCCTGATGCTGCCGTCCTTCCACTTGTACCTTTCCACCAGCTGGTGGCCGAGGCCGTTGGTCAACGGGTCCCCGTGGATGCCGAAGTAGCCGTCGTACAGCTTCGCAATGCCTTTGACCCCGGACTTCATCTCAACGCCAACCTCCTTGGTCAAGGACTCGGCGGGGCGGTCGATGAACCGAGAGGACTTTCCACCTGCTTTGAGATTCTCAATCAAGGCGGTCATGAACGTAGTGAAGCGCCCTGCCTCCTCCTTGTCGGTCAGCTTGGTATCCACCTCAGCCCACCCTTTCCCGGGATATAATTTCCATTTGGATGCACCGCAGTAGGCGCACACCTTGCCACCGAAATCAGGTTTGTTCCAAGCTCTGGTCAACAACTCATTGACGGGATCGGGGTCCCCCAGACGGCAACCGCAAACGCGGCACATCTTGTCCATGATGGAAGCGTAGCGGGCGCCGAGGATCGAGAGTGCCGAGGAGATCAAGATCCCGATGTTCCCGATCCCACACGACTGAGACAAACCATGGGCTCGCTTCTGGCGCTTCCTGACCTCACGGGCGCACGGGCGCCGAATCAGACGCGCATCTTCGACGCCCCTTTGAGCTCCGAGGTGCTGGTTTCAACAAAAATCCGAAATCTGCCGACGGCCCACGAGGCCGCAAACCATGTTATCCGCGGGCCCCGCGAACTCTGGAAAACATCACAGCGGGGGGGGCAACGAAGATGCGTTGCTGATCGGCGCCCGACCTGCTCGGGCTCTGGAGGGCCTTCGGCGCCCACGTCATGCTGCTGGTAGTCGTCTTGGTCCCCCGCCGAGCTCAGGAGGTCCAGCATGTCCGCCATCGGCGCGGACCTCAGCACGGAAGCTAGCAAACCCCAGGAAAGGCGCCGGCGCCAAGGCGACCCTCGCAAGGCAAACCGAGAGCTCGAGCCAGAACAGCTCCGACGGGCCCACGCCGAGCGGGGCAAGCTTGGGGCGCGAACCCCCCGCTGCACTGGACGGCTCAGAGTTCCAAGGCCCGTTCCGCTGGGCGAGTTTTCGTATGATTTGCAAGCGGTTTGCCTTTTCGTCGACGTGCCATGCCGTTGACATGTTTTTGTTTCGGTGATGTGCTGGTCCTCTCATTCGCTCTCGTGGGCCTCTCAGAGCATTGCCTCTCTGTTTCGCTGATGCTGAGAACCGCTTAGGCTGCTGGATAATCCGAAACAAATCTGCTCACTGCTTTGAGCTGCTCCCGCACGCGGGGAAATCCAACGCTTCGTTCGTTCGGGGTTCGGGGCAGGGCGGGGGAGCAGCTCGGGTGACTTATGTTTGTCCTTGCTTGCGTTTGTACGGAATCCCATGTCTGCTGGATAGCACGCAGCGGGCGCCGAGGCCATGATGGCCCCAAAGGGCGCATTCGACAACTAATTAAACCAAAACACTCGGGCCAACTGGAAACTGAAGCACGCCGACTGGTGACACCCCATGTGCAACTGCGGGCTCTGCGAACTGCCTTGCCGCCACGCTCGTCCGCTGCCGACTCCTGAGCGCCCGATGCTGGATGCTGTGACCTCCCCGCCCGCCCGCCCACTCCCGGACGACTGCGAACTGCGCCTCCTGCCGCAACGCACCCTGGTGCACGGCATGGAACGACTCAACCGGATGCGCGGCGACCTGATGGCGGCAGACAAGTTCCACCGCTCAGGCGAAGAGAAAAGGTAAAGTTGGACAGATGGCCGAGCGGATACCGCTCCATCAAGCCTCGAACGAAAGGATTGCATGCCCCACCACTCACCCAAGCATTGCCTGCGTCTGCCTCCCCCCATTCCCTACTCCCTACTACTCCCTACCCTACCCTGCCCCGCTTCAGGAGATCGTACGTTCATACTTCAAGAGGAAACGGCGCACTGCGAATGCGTCTGCTCAGATCCCAGGCAGTGCAGATGTTGTGAAAGAGGCCTGCCAATCACGCTCCGCCCGGCTCTGGGACGCGCCGTTAGACACGGGAAACGTGGCCAAGGCTGCAAATCCCATGGCCATCGCAGTGTGTGCATTGAAAGCCTGACCTGCGATGCCGCGCAAAATGTTGGGCGTGAGGCCCAGAGCTGCATACCGCTGGATGGGCGCGCGCGGGATCCCCTGGGCAGCAAGGCATTCGCACGGCTGCAGAAGCCTAAAACGCTTGCGGCACCAAGGGAGAGACTTGGAAGTCAGGCAGGGAACGCCGCCGATACAGGAAGGGATCCTGCCCAAATTCTGACTGACATCAATTATGTGCTCCTCGGCAGCTGAGCCAGGGCCAGGTGGGAGCCTGCCCAGCTTAAGGTCGTGCCAAAGCACGACCTCCCTGGCGCGGTCACAAAGCACGCTGATGCGCTCTAACTCGCTTGGGGAATAATGGATCTCCCACACGGGGGGGTAGCGGAAGCCCTCCTCGCGGAACGCTGCCTGGTGCTCATCGGGCCACTCCAATTTGGCCTTCTTCTGGGGGTGCCTGCGGAGGAGCAGCGCCGCGTCGTCCACCTGATTCTCCTTCGCCTCCAGGGCCATGGACTCCTTCAACTCCTCCGAGTCCTGCCCGGCAGCCCCTCCATCATTGAAGTAAGGGGGTCCAAAACGGCTCCAGGACGGCTCCAGAAAGATCAACAACAGGGGCCCCCAGATTCCGCCCAGGGTCCAAACGCACGAGTATTTGCACGAGCGGCGTCCAGCCATAAGAGAACCCTAAGAGGGCCCCAGAAGGCCCCAGGAGGCCCCGAAAAGGGCCCCAAGACGGCCCCAAGAGGGCCCCAAGACGGCCCCAGAGCACCTTATAAAACAAGCTGTTTTTATAAACTGTCCTGGGGCCTCTCCCGAAGCCCTCGGGGAGAGCTTCCAGGGGCCCCAGGAGGCTCCGAGAGGGCCCCAAGACGGCCTCAGGACGCTCCAAGACGGCCCCAAGACGGCCCCAATTAGGATCACCCGGAAGGCCTCTGCCGGGTGATCCTAGTTGTGGCCCTCTTGGGGCCCTCTTGGAGCCTCTTGGGGGCCCTGAGGAGGCTCCGAGAGGGCCCCAAGACGGCCTCAGGAGGCTCCAAGACGGCCCCAAGACGGCCCCAATTAGGATCACCCGGAAGGCCTCTGCCGGGTGATCCTAGTTGTGGCCCTCTTGGGGCCCTCTTGGAGCCTCTTGGGGGCCCTGAGGAAGCCCCAAGAGGGCTCCAAGAGGGCCCCAAGAGGTTTCCAAGAGGACCCCCAAGGGGGATCCAAGAGGGCAAAATGGCTGAACATATTTTCAGCCACTTTGCTTTCCAAGAGGGCCTCCAAGAGGGCTCCAAGAGGGCTCCCAGAGGGCCCCAAGACGGCCCCGAGAGGCTCCAAGAGCGCTCAAAGAGGACCCCAAAAGGGCTCCAAGAGGGGCCCCAAGAGGTTTCCAAGAGGACCCCAAGGGGGATCCAAGAGGGCAAAGTGGCTGAACATATTTTCAGCCACTTTGCTTTCCAAGAGGGCCTCCAAGAGGGCTCCAAGAGGGCTCCCAGAGGGCCCCAAGATGGCTCTAAGAGGGCTCTTCAGCCCCGCAGGCTGGATACACGCGGGAGGTCGCCGGCCGAGTCCTCGGCCAGCAAGATGTCGCTGAGCGGGGCCGGCTCCATCTCAAGGCGCTGCAGCGTCTGGCCCATGCGCTCGCCCAGCTTGTCCAAGTCCTCACTGCGACTGAGCGGCTCGCCGTCGGTGATGCGGACGGCAACGGCCCACCACCGCGTCCTGCGCACGGGGGCCCCTCCCCCACCCCCCCCCTGTCGCTCCCCCTCCGCCCTTCCGATCACCAAGCCCCCTCTACTCCGCAGCGGGGCGTCCTGCTAGCCCCCCCAGTTGTGCCTCATCGGCCCCCTGTCCGCGCCCATCCTCCCCCCCCTCCCTCTTGCCTCTCCCTCCCACTATCTCCGTGGCCCTGCCTACATCGCCCCCTGCCCATCATCCGATCCTCCTGTGGGGGCTTCCGTGCCGACGAGAGTCGTACACCCAGGAGAACACCGCATAGCCAATCTTGGCGTACTGATCGCGCACCTCATCGCTGTTCGAGCGGCCCGTCCTCTTGTCTGGATCTGCGATCGCCGCGACGTTCTCCAAGAAGGCAAATTGTGGGCGGTACTTCTTGACGTAGGACAGGCCGCCAGCGAAGGTCGTGCCCGTGCGATGGGTCTTGTCAGCGATGCAGGTGGAGGCCTCAGAACAACCGATGCGACCGCCCGATGTCTGACCGAAGGCATCGCGATCAGACAGCGTCAGAAGTGCACTACGAGATACCTACGACCGCTGCCGATTTGAACATATCCGCTAGCGTATAAGACCCACAACTCATGCAACCTGCCAGGCACGTTATATGTACTACAGTGCCCGCCAGACATACACGAGTGACAAGTCATCACTCCACTCCAAGTGAGTGGCCCACAGACCACCGATCGACTAAGAGCGACGGCATCGGTCAGACGATCACGGTGCTAAGGCAGCGGCCTCACCAGCCTTCTGATTCATGTAGCTGAGGTCCTTGCAAACAAAGCCCTGGAAGATGAGCGTGCTCGGGGGGACCGCGGCGCACTTCTGGGAAAGCAAGTCAAAGGGCCGCTCGGAGAGGAACGACGTCACGTCAGCGAACAACCGTTTGGGGCAGGCAAACGCCTTGATGAACGTCTGAACGTTGGCGTCGATCTCACACGAGAAGGTATGGTCGACGGAGGCATTGCAGCAACGCATTATCTCTCCCACCACCTGCACGCACACGTCACTGCCACTACACATTGTGCCGGTGGCCACCTCGGACTGCTGGAAGTTCGCGAGCAGGCGGCTCTTGGAGGCAGGGGAAAGCAGACTGAACATCTGGTCCGCCAAGTGGCTCAACCTCCCCGCCGCGCAGCGGCCGGCGTCGCTCGACTGGCGCCCCAAGCGCCTCGGGACTGGTGGCCTCGGTGGCTCCTCCTCATCATCTGCGCCCTGTGGAGTGAATCGAAAGGCCCCCCGACGAGATCCTAGTTGCCCCGACAAGGCCCCTCGCACCTCCTGCATGCGTCCTTGGGGCCTCGCGGCCCCCTCTGATACCCCCCATGCCCCCCCCCCTGGCCCCCCTGCCCCCCCCCCTCCCCCCCCCTCTCCCCCCCCCTGCCCCCCCCCCCTATTCGCCGGCTCTTCGCCGGGCCCCAGGGGGGGCGCCTCCTTCATAAAGGGAATCAATAAGAACAGGAGGGGGGGGGGAGGGGGCTATTCGCCGGCTATTCGCCGGCCCCAAGGGGGAAGGGGGGGGGGGCTGGGAGGGGGGCAGGGGGGGCAGGGGGGGGGCATGGGGTGTATCAGAGGGGGTCAAGGAAGCCGCTGGGGCGTCTCGGGAACGACTGATGATGATCAGAAGGGGGCGGGGGAAGGAGAGGGAGGGGGAGGAGGAAGAGGAATGGAATGTCATGGAATGGAATGGAATGGAAAAGCCCGAAGGGGAAGTGCACGGCACCAAGACGGTCACACTTGAGATGGCCTGGCTCAAACTTGCCCATCTAGGGAGGAGGAGGAGGAGGAAGAGGGGAGGGGCAGGAGGAGGCGGGCGGGGAGGGAGCTCCTCCTCCCCGGACTCGGTGACGAGCTCGTCCACCCACTGCCCCCTCGCTTGCGAAAACCTTGCCCACGTTTGGGCCCGCAGGAAGCGCTGGTACTCCTCATCCCTCAATCGTCGCCTCCTCTCCTCCGCCTCCACTCTCTCTTCAAATCGTTGCCTCCCCCGCTGCACCAGGAACGCGACGAGTCCGTCTCCCGAGTCTTCCTCATCCTGAGAGGGCGAGTGGGGAGGAGGAGGATGCGGGAGGTGGAGGGGGCGGGATGGCGGAGGAGGAGAAAT